CATGGGTGAATTCTCGCTCTCCACTCACCCACCCACCCACTTAATCACCCACCCTCCATTCCACGCCCTCGCTCATCGGAAATGTGACAATACAGGACATGGTGGCGCACTCAGCGTGTGACTATGGCGAGACGTGGGCGGAGCGCGAAGCTTTATCAAAGTACCGAGAGTATGCGTGGCTGGGGCGAGTGGACAAGCTGCGCTTCTCCTCTGATGAGCTGCGCCTGGCCGGCAAGTGCCCCCTCACACCAGAAGAAGTGGGACTCGTGCTGGCTGCTCTCGGCTTCTCTGGCAAGACAAGGCTCTATGTGGCCACCTATCAGGTGAGTCGGTCGGTACCCGGTCACACTGAATGTGGTTGCGTGCAGCTTGCTCTGAGCTGCGCCTGACGGTCAAGCGCCCACTCACACCCGAGGAGGGTGGGGCTCGTGCTGGCTGCCCTCGGCTTTTCTTCTAAAACACGACTATTTGTGGCGACCTACCAGGTGAGTCCGTTGGTACCAGGTGAGTGGACGTGTGGAGTGCGGGTGTGTGCAGCTTGTTATGCCTGCGCCTGACGGTCAAGCGCCCCCTCACACCCGAGGAGGTGGGGCTCGTGCTGGCCGCCCTCGGCTTCTCAGCGAAACTAGGCTCTATGTGGTGACGTACCAGGTGAGTCTATTCGCAAGGTGAGAGTGAGTTTGAGTGTGGACTGTGGGTGTGTGTGGCTTCCTCTGATGAGCTGCACCTCGCGGGCAAGTGCCCCCTCATACCCGAGGAGGTGGGTCTTGTATTGGTTGATCTCGGCTTCTCGGCCAAAACAAGGCTCGATGCGGCGACGTACCAGGTGAGAGTGAGAGTGAATCTGAGTGTGGATTGTGGGTCCATGGCACGGTATGCGTCAACCTCTGATGAGCTGCGCCTGGCAGGCGCGGCCCACAGGAGATGGGGCTTGTGCGTGCCTCGCTCTGCTTTTGAGGCGGCTCAAAAAACCGCGTGAGAGAAGTCTAGTTTTGAGGCGCCTCAAACCTGGCAGGCTCGGCCCACAGGAGATGGGGGGCTTGTGCGTGCCGTGCTCTGCTTCCTCCAGGTGTCGGGCGAAAAGCGGATTAGAAGTAGTCATTTTTGAGACGTCTCAAAAGTGTCCCTTTGTCACAGGGCGTGTGCTTGCCAAGCTCTGCTTACCCCAGGCGCATGGTGGGGAGAAGTTGATGGTACATGCTAACCTCTCGCTTCTATTGCACCCATCGCTTTCTCTTGCAGGTGTATTGGGTAGAGAAACGAATTGCCGCCTTGCACCGCCTGTTCCCGCAGTTGGAGGACAAGACAAGCCTGGCCACGGAGGAGGAGCTGCGGCCGTTCCTGGGGAACGCATCACAGCCCTGCAACACCTGATGTAACCCCTGTTTCCTCGTACGCCGCAGGTGTATGGAGGGGAGAAGCGCATTGCCCCCCTGCGCCGCCTGTTCCCGTGGCTGGAGGATAAGACGAGCCTGGCGACGGAGGAGGAGCTGCAGCCGTTCCTGGGGAAGGCGTCGCTGCTGGCAGCACTGGACTTCTATGTGAGCCGCTACAGCGACGTGTTCGTGTCCGCCTCCCTGGGCAACATGCACAACGTGATGGTGAGGCATGCACCATGTTGTGAGGTGATGGGTTGAATGGTGCTTGCTTACCTTGTGAGGGGAGGGGGGTTGGGCAAGGGAAGACTTGTATGTCAGCCACTACAGTGATGTGTTGGTGTCTGCTTCCCTCCTCAACAAGCACAAGGTAATGGTGAGCTGCATGACATGCTGGTATGTGAGGGGATGGGTCAGATATGACTATGTTACATGAGGCGTCGCTGCTGGCAGCGCTGGACTTGTACAGTGATGTGTTCGTGTCTGCTTCCCTCCTCGACAAGCACAACATAATGGTGAGCTGCATGACATGCTGAGGCACCTCGACAATGTGATGATGAGCACAATGGGGATGGTGATGCCTCTCTGATATTCATTGTTATAGAGTCACCTTTCTGCTCGATGCACTGCACCCCCCTTATGTTTCACCGCTATGTTGTTTCCCAATGCATTTCAATTTCAGGCTGCACACCGTGCGTACTTTGGCGGTTTAAAGACGATCAACTTCAACGGTACACTCCTGGCAACGCTGCTTGCGGCCCCTCCAAACACCCTCAACTGGAACGAGTTCGTTCGCGCCGTGCAGATCGGGCATCGGTCGCGAATGGGCAAGATCAAGCCGAGGCGTGCTGGGCAATCCATCTACACCTATCCTGCTCCCGATTGCTTGTGCCCTATTGACGTACCACCGTCGCAGCCCGCGACTCGCACCGTAACAAGTGCTACAAACAGTGGCTTGGTTTCATTCACAGATGGTAATATTCATTCAGCCGAGGGTGAAGTTGGTAAAAATGAGGATATTGCTGTTGGTAGGGATACGAGAGTTTTAGATGAAACTATGGATGTGCGGGACGTTGATTGGGACAATATGGGAGGCCAAAGACGATGATACGTTGTATGGTTCTGACAATTATACAAGCACCAAGAATGAGCGTGTTAAGATTACAGGCCTTGTTTGAGTTAATCTTTTTGCATAATTATTTTCTGCTTTGGCTGATGGCTCATCTAAGCGACTGTTGCAAACGAGACTCGCAATGCCGCGCGTATTCCGCAACAGATCCCACAATCGAGTTTGCGTGACTTGGTGATTCACGAGGATTTGGTGGTAAGTCGAGTCGCGACACTCCACTCAGATCCCACTCGGGTAAAAGCCAGCACGCAGGCCGCGTGGTTTTGGTTAGGAAGTCGCGATTTGCTCTTGGCACGATCCGATCGTTTCCGCTGGCCGCTAGACCCATCGGTGCAGTATTGCCACAGCACTGTTAGACGGGGTTTTGCGCAGAGCCGATGTGAATTTAGAGTGGATGTGAAGTGGTCGTCACCTCGTTTCGAAGAAGCAGCGACTGTTGAGTCCACTGAGTGGTTCGAAGGTTTCCAAAAAAATATAAAAATAAATACATTATCCATTGAAACGTTTCAATTTGCACGGAGCATCACCAGAGTCGAACGAGGCGTGCAGGCATGGCGGCGAGAGGCAGGTTCGGCGGGGTGAAGCGAGAGAACGAGGGCTTCGACTTTCAGTATCGCATGTCCGTTGACAACAGTGAGTTGTGACAATAGTGAGCTTTGCCTAGTGCGATGTGACATTATTTGCCTTCTGCTCTGCTCGCTCCTTCTGGTTGATCCTCACGCGCCTTTAAGTCTGCATCTCGCCGCGTTGCCGGCTGCATTGTCGCCTCTCCCCATCTTGCGTGTTCTCTGAACTGTGCTGTGCGGTGCTGCGCGGTGCTTTGTGGTGCAGGATACAAGAAGGCAGCTGAGGGTCGTCGCCGACTGAGACTACTGACGACACTGCAGGTGAGCGATGAACCTGCGTCATCTCAATGTCGTCATGAATGGCATCACACCATCGAGGGTGAGGCATCACACCATCGAGGGTGAGGCATCACACCATTGAGGGTGAGGCATCACACCATCGAGGGTGAGGCATCACACCATTGAGGGTGAGGCATCACACCATTGAGGGTGAGGCATCACACCATTGAGGGTGAGGCATCACACCATTGAGGGTGAGGCATCACACCATTGAGGGTGAGGCATCACACCATCGAGGGTGAGGCATCACACCATTGAGGGTGAGGCATCACACCATTGAGGGTGAGGCATCACACCATTGAGGGTGAGGCATCACACCATTGAGGGTGAGGCATCACACCATTGAGGGTGAGGCATCACACCATTGAGGGTGAGGCATCACACCATTGAGGGTGAGGCATCACACCATTGAGGGTGAGGCATCACACCATTGAGGGTGAGGCATCACACCATCGAGGGTGAGGCATCACACCATCGAGGGTGAGGCATCACACCATTGAGGGTGAGGCATCACACCATTGAGGGTGAGGCATCACACCATTGAGGGTGAGGCATCACACCATTGAGGGTGAGGCATCACACCATTCGAGGGTGAGGCATCACACCATTGAGGGTGAGGCATCACACCATTGAGGGTGAGGCATCACACCATTGAGGGTGAGGCATCACACCATTGAGGGTGAGGCATCACACCATTGAGGGTGAGGCATCACACCATTGAGGGTGAGGCATCACACCATTGAGGGTGAGGCATCACACCATTGAGGGTGAGGCATCACACCATTGAGGGTGAGGCATCACACCATTGAGGGTGAGGCATCACACCATTGAGGGTGAGGCATCACACCATTGAGGGTGAGGCATCACACCATTGAGGGTGAGGCATCACACCATTGAGGGTGAGGCATCACACCATTGAGGGTGAGGCATCACACCATTGAGGGTGAGGCATCACACCATTGAGGGTGAGGCATCACACCATTGAGGGTGAGGCATCACACCATTGAGGGTGAGGCATCACACCATTGAGGGTGAGGCATCACACCATTGAGGGTGAGGCATCACACCATTGAGGGTGAGGCATCACACCATTGAGGGTGAGGCATCACACCATTGAGGGTGAGGCATCACACCATTGAGGGTGAGGCATCACACCATTGAGGGTGAGGCATCACACCATCGAGGGTGAGGCATCACACCATCGAGGGTGAGGCATCACACCATTGAGGGTGAGGCATCACACCATTGAGGGTGAGGCATCACACCATTGAGGGTGAGGCATCACACCATTGAGGGTGAGGCATCACACCATTGAGGGTGAGGCATCACACCATCGAGGGTGAGGCATCACACCATTGAGGGTGAGGCATCACACCATTGAGGGTGAGGAATTATAAACTGAGGCATCAAAGAGCTTGCGTCCTGTATCATTGAGGATTCTAACAACATCGAGATTATTCACGTGACCGGCACAGTTTCAGGTAGCAACATCACAGGTTTCATTTTCACGTGACTGTGGGATCTAAGGGTCAAAGCAACATCAAGTAGCACCATTCCGCACCGTTTAGCACCGTTCAGAAATCACCGAGCAGCAAGCCGTTCCTCTCATCTGCCAATCCCATCCCTCCCTCCACCCCCCTCCCTTTCCTCTCGCTCTTCTCCTTCCTGCGAGTCCTCATAGCGGCCTCTCTCACTGCTAGATACCTCTCAATCTGACTGGAGTATCCCCATCCATGCCTCTACTTTCCCCATTCCTTCCCCCCCCCACCACCGCCAGTCGCTCTACTCCTTCCTGCGTGTCCCCATAGCAGCCTCTCTCATGGTCCGCCCTCTCATCACAGCACGCCTGCACGGGAACGCTGCTGTGGGACTGATTATGACTCGACTCCTACTGTCATGCCTCACCTTTCCCCATCCCTTCCGTCCCCAACACCCCTCCTGTTGGAGTAGGCTAGAGCTTTTGAGGCGCCTCAAAAGTCGTTTGCTGGATTAGGCTAGAGGCGCTTCAAAAGTCGTCTGTTGGAGTAGGGTAGAACTTTTGAGGCGCCTCAAAAGTCGTCTGTTGGAGTAGGCTGGAACTCGCTCTGGCATTTATCATAGTGTTCTTTTGTTATTTCGCCATGTTTGGAGCGAGTTACACTTTCGGTTCAGTTTAGGTTCATTTCTTAGTTTCTAGCACAAACTGAGCACGCCCTAAGTTCAATTAGGGCTTCCTACATTTGTATCTCGACACTCTTTCCTTGAAACAATTCTCTTGCTACTTTCTCTCTCCCTAGCCATGGCTACCATATTTCTCAGCTTTAACACCTCCCACCACCTCCATTCACTCTACTCCTTCCTGCGAGTCCTCATAGCAGCTGCGCTCATGGCCTGCGCGCTTATCACAGCACGCCTGCACGGCAGCAGCACCCTAAACCACCAATGCCATGCTTCTCGTTTGCTCCATACCCCCACCTCCCCACCCCACCACCGTCAGTCGCTCTACTCCTTCCTGCGAGTCCTCATAGCAGCCTCGCTCATGGCCCGGCCGCTCATCACAGCACGCCTGCACGGCAGCACGGGTGTGGGGCCACAGGCGCTGCAGATAGACGTGAAGGAGTCGCTAGCAGCAGCACTGGGAGCAGCTGCTGCTCTCACAGGGAATCTAGGTATGTCTAATACCACAAGCACTGGGGAATGCAGTTATGTGTGTGTGTGTATCACCATAAGCACTGGACAGCAGCACGCATGGGCGAGCAGTGGCGCTGCAGATGGACGTGAAGGCGACACTGGTTGCAACACTGGGAGCAGCCGCGGCTCTCACGGGGAATCTAGGTATGTGAATCACAGGGAATCAAGGCATGACTGTTACAGCACGCTTGCTCGGCAGCACGGTTGGGCGAGCGTTGCAGGTAGATGTGAAGGAGGCATTGGCTGGTTGCAGCACTGGGAGCAGCTGCAGCTGCAGCTCTAACAGGGAATCTATGTATGGGTGTTACCACTTCATGGCCTGTCTCGCAGCACTCTTCACCAGTCTTTCCAAAGAAAGCTCTCCCCATGCCCCATCCCATGCCCCATCCCATGCCCCATCCCATGCCCCATCCCATGCCCCACCCATGCTGCATCCCATGCCCCACCCATGCCGCATCCCATGCCCAACTGTTCCCACGTCCCATCCCATGTCCCTTTGCAGCATCCGGCACATCTCGCGCGCGAGTGCTCAAGCTGTACGCCTCGCTCTCCCTCATGGCCTGCGTTGCAGCGCTCTTGCCCCTCCTCACTGGCCCTCTTGTCTATCCGGTATGCTCTGTCTCTACCCTCTTGTTTAACTGGTACTCTATGCCTCTACCCTCTTGTCTACCCGGTCCGCTCTGTCTCTGCCCTCTTGTTTAACTGGTATTCTATGCCTCTACCCTCTTGTTTAACTGGTATTCTATGCCTCTACCCTCTTGTCAACCCGGTACGCTGTGCCTCTACTCTCTTGTCTACTTGGTACGCTGCTCCTCTACCCTCCTGTTTACCCGATATGCTATGCCTCTTCTTTCTTGTCTACCCATTACGCTCTACCTCTCTTCCTTTGTCCAACCGGTACACTCCGCCTTGTTCTTTTGGCTATATCTTTGCACGCTTTCATGCTCTGGTGCATCAGAGAGAGTGCCAGTGTGCATGTGTGCATGTGTGCATGTGTGCATGTGTGCGTGCGTGCATGTGTGCATGTGCGCATGCGTGCTTGTGTGCATGTGTGCATGTGTGCTTGTATGCAAGTGTGAATGCACCCAACGCACCACAGCAGCCCAACACACCCCAGAAGCCCAAAACACAACCCCCTACTTTGTGCTTTGCTCCACCATCTTTCCTTGGACAGGGAAATTGAACAGTGATGTACAGTAGTTGCCTTTCCAATCAACGCAATATCACACAAATTCTCTCGGAAATCGTACAGAACAACACCCCTCAGTTGACTTTTGAGTTCTGCCGAGTGTCACCCTCTGATTGCGTGTCCATTATAATACTGGAACAGGAGAAATGGATGACTGTGAGGAAGAATGGTAGCAGCAACAGTGCGGAGGGAGCAGATAATCTGGAGCAGCTTTGGACTGCTGTAGCCACGGCCAGCATTGCCATTGACATGGCAGGTAACCACCAGAGATTACATTTTTTTCGTAACGCTTGCTGTTTGGCAATGTGTTGTCGTAAATACCCTCCCTAATTCCTGTATTTCTTGTGTGGGTGGATGTCGCCCTGGCTGTTGCAGGAGCTCTGCTGCATCTCGTGGTTGTGTATGTGTCGGTTTCTATGGCTGCTGCGTTTTCCACGCCGAAGTCACAATGACCTGTGGTTCGACACTCGAAGACTGCATGCACTATTAGCCCCTGATACACCGGTCGTGATTGTGTGATGCATTTATTCTTGGCGAACTTGTTTTTGGGTGAACAGATCAGTCACTCACACGTGAACGAGACTCTTTTTGTATTATTGGCGTGGCAACAAATGATGCTTACTATGTAGCAATTTTACCTTCAACCCTTGGGTTCAAACGAAATTTTGAGCTGAAATTATAAGATACACGTGTATGTTGCTGATGCAGATGTCTGAATTCTGTAACGAATCATTCTCAATATACTCTGGTTCACACTGTGTATGTCCAATCAGCATGTGAATCCACCTGAAATCACGGAACGGAACTTGCCAATACAGTATCCCCATCAGCTTCACGTCAGTGTGCACGCCGCCATCCCCACAAGGACCCTTCGCCATCAAACTGCACCAACCCCATCCAAGCCATGGGGCTCAACCAATCACCGTGTGCGCGCAAGTCCTGTGTGGGTGTCTACTCCTCCCTTCCTTTCCTCCCATCCATAGCGCCCTCACCATCATCTCTAGTTGTCGAATGTCGGCTTTGTGATGAAACCCTAGCGCCTGCCACCCTCTTGCGCCAAAACTTCTGAGTCCTCTGGGGTTTCCGAAGCAGAATGGCAGACTCGGAGTGCAGAGTGCAGTCATGGTCCAGCTTCTGACAAAGACAACAAGCCCTCGGTTCGGTTCGACTTGATGGCCCCATGGTTTGGTGGCATTCGTCACGAAGGGTCTTGCTCTCTGCACACTGTCACCACAACCACACGTATCTCGCGCCAAAATCTTCCTCTTTCCCCTCGATGACTCAACACGCAAGCTGTTTTGCGCCAAAAATGGCGAACCCACGGCATCTTCACCCAAGCTGAGTGCCAGGCCCGGCAAGCGATATTCTGACGCCCAGCCGACCGAACCAGCAGGGCGACGGCTTTCTGCGCTGGTTACAGACGTCGCAAACGGAGTCTGTGAGCAAGTCTGCCATGAGATGATGTAAAAAACCCTCATCGTGCCTGTCTTTGCTCAGTTCGCCATTACCATGCCACGTTTTCCGTCTTCTTGAGTTTCTTCTCTCCGCTTTCCCTTCCCTCCTCCCCTTCCCTCTTCCCCGTTTCTCCTCCCCACCATCCCCTATGGCGGCTGTTTTCCCTCCCCTAGAGCGGCCCCCATCATCCACTCCCCACGAGCCCAGCCCCTCCCCGTCCCTCCTCAAGCAAGTAGTTTCCTTTAGTTCCGAACCGCTAACAGAAACCAAGTCCAGCAAAAAGCATGGCGCCTTAGCTCGTTCCACGCAAGCACGCAGTCAACCAAGCACCGTCCGTAAATTAGTTTCTCCGCCTAACTTCCCGAAACTCGGCCAAGTGACGCCGCGCGGCATTCCCAGGATATCCGTAGCTGACCTAGTGTTGGAAGACGGCCCGCCCACATCATCCTACACTAAAGCCGCCGAGACGTTATACCTTTCCTTAGCTCGCCACGGCGCGGCGGTTATCGAGCCGGCACGCGACGATGTAGCGCTGCTGTGTAGGGCGTTAGAGTCGACGCGTCTGTACTTTCGGAAACGGGCCGAATCGGAGTCGTCGCCGCTGAAACCGTCAGAATGGAGCGACCGTGGCGGTTACTTCACCGCTCCGTCCAAGGACCTGTATTTCTACAAGGCTGGAAGGTGTGGAACATAAAGCTGCGTTATAATCGCCATTTAGTTCCGAAGTTATGTTTTGTAACGCGACGGGTTGATTGGGGATATTAGTTTTCACTGCCCTTTTTTAATTCCGTTTTTATTTTGTTTATGTGTGTTTGGCAGGTCGATGAACGAGGGACTGAACGATTTTTGTCCTCCTGGTTTTCCTGAAGCCTTTCGATGCAGTGGACGCGTTTCACGGCTTGCCATGTCCGCCATCGCTCGGCACCTGAAGCTTCGTGGCGAGTAAGTCATTGGCGAGTAATTATATGTATTTTGTGCGTTCAACGTGGTAGTACTTCCGTCGTGGTTTTGTTTCGTTGATTTTGTTGGACTGTTTATTTAGTTGTTTTTTCCTCCTTTGCCTTCGGCGTTTTTACAGTTTCTTTTCAGGGTTGCTCGACGACTGCCCGTTGCCGGTCGGCGAAGTATCGTCGTCCGTTCTAGCCGCGACGTGCCAAAGGAGAGATCCTATCTCCGACCATTTCAAACCCGACGACGCGCATGGAAGAGTTTCAGAGGCATCGGAAACCGAGAAGGGCCTTCTGATGCTCGTCACAGCAGATTTCCCGGGCCTTCAGGTAACCCGTTTGTTTACGAAAATTATCGTTTTCGTTACTATTTCGTTGTCGGAGGCTGTGTAACAATCGACGTTCGTCGCGCAGGTGTGCAATTCCGAAGGTGTGTGGTCACCGGCGGATCAGGGCGTGCCGCCGGGAAGCCTGCTACTGCTTGCCGGCCGTTGCCTTCATCGCGCCACGGCCGGGCTCTGCCCCGCCTCCACCTACCGCGTGCTGCCGCCCGCCTCTGCGGGAGCCACCAGGTGACTTGCGAAAACGATTTTTTCGTGTTATGTTTCTTCTTTCCAAAGGTTATTTCTTATATCGTGACTTTTGGTTGACGATTTTTGTGTGATTGTTTTTTGTTACGCCTTCGCAGGTGTTCGTTGTCGTTCCGCCTGATGCCGCGCCCTTCAGCGCCGATTGACTGCTCTTCGCTGATTCACGCGGGTCACGCAGTCCCCTCAAGCATGCGAGCCGTCGTTCACGCTGGCCCATTTCTTGATTCGCTGAGCTCCTATGCTCACGATCCTGCGAGCGAATCGAAGGAGTCAAGCATGGTGCGCCTCGTGCGTTTGTATATTGCCTTTGCTTTCATATGGTTTATGATTTTAGTGCTTTCTATTCTAACATATGGTTTTTTCCATGATGTTCAGGCTGTTGCGTGCAAGTTAGAAAAGGCTTCACTTTCGTCAATGGTTGTCGATCCTGCCTCGTAAGTGCGTGCGGATTTCCTGTTTTATGACTATACTCTCGGTCATAATCTAAACATTTCGTTTTAACTGTTTTCCAGAGGGTCTCTTCTCGAGGATGCAATGATTGCTCCGTGTGGCCATTCATTTGGTGGAGCGACACTCTCTCGAGTCATTGATTCTGTAAGTGCTCGTGATTGGCTTTAGAATCCCCCCATCAGCTCTTTTCTTCCCCACCCATCTTTATGGGCATCAGCCCATTCCTCATGCACTAGATTCTCGTTTTTTTTCTAAGCTGTTCCACGTGTTCTTCGATCCATGTGCAGATGCTATGTCCTTATTGCATGGCCTCGGTTGACACCATGACTCTGATTCCCAACCTTGGTAAGCAGGCTTGCTTTCTTGACCACCCATCCACATCTCTCGCTTTCAGTGTTTAGAATCTGAACATTCTTGTCAAGGTAACGGAAGTTTATCCGAACATTCTTTCTCCAATCTTGCAGCCATGCGGTCAGTTGCGTCTTGCTTCCGCCCGGGCTTGTCGCATGGAGGCGGCGTGAAGGTCCCAAAGAGAAAGCGGGTGAAGGAGTTTGGAGAAGGGAAAGACCCGTCAGAAGCTGTCAAACGCAGACCTAAGGTGATGCATGCGTGGTGTGAGTCTTGACTCTTGACATTTTTGCATCTTCAGATTTCTTGATTGAAGTCATGAATGCTGATTCGCCTTCTTCTTTGGATTCATGAGCAGACTGAAGATGCGATGCTTGCCAGCTCATTTGAAGGAGACACATTTGGCCGTCCAAAAGGAGTACAGTTCCCCTTTTCTGTCAATGACAAAGTTCTGATCAAGGTAACCATTTGTTTGCATTTGATTCTTCTTGAAGTTTAGTGTTTCTGGTTACTAACGACTTGTTCATTGTTGCAGGGAAACAAGCGCACTCCTGAGAAGTTTTTCGGGAGGGAGGCAATTATCACGTCTCAGTGCTTGAATGGCTGGTATGCTCTAGTTTTTTCCCCTGCACCATGCGAATGTTGTGTCATGCGTGTTACTGATTTGACTTTGCCCTGGATTTGCAGGTACCTGGTTCGCATGCTTGACTCTGGGGAAAGTGTTCGCCTGCAGTACCGCTCTCTTCAGAAAAGTGGTGAGTCCCATGTGTGCCACATGGCATGATTGCCATTCTTGAATTGCTGTTCATTTTTGTTGTTTTCCTGCCACCTTATTCATGTTTCGTTTTGTTGTTACCCTTTTACAGATGGAACACCTTTAGAGACTGGCGACGCTCGTCTCTCTAGCAGTCCGGATGCCCAGATGGAGAGGAAGGCTGGAGCAGACTCTACAGAAAGGTGGTGGGAGTCGAAGCCTGCGGTTGGAGAAATGTCGGCATTGCTGCAAGAAGATGACAAGGATGAGAAGCTTGGTCGACCGCTTTCGCTGGCGCTAGGAGAGGAGTCTGTCCCACGACCCTGTCCTGGTGGAGCTTCGTCCTCTTCTCTTCATGAACAGCCCCCCCTTTCGTCAACACCCAATCATCCTGCCGTGAGGAATGCTGTTGATACGCGAGCAGCACCACGTGAGTCCCAAGCTTACTTGGGAGCACATGGATCAAGCCTCGCCAAGCAGACCCAAGCCTTGATTGCTGCAGCAGCAGCAATGGAAGAGGAATCAAGAGAGGCAACTGGGGACGACTGTGTGTCTGGTGGTAACCAGCAGTCATTTTCTCCTCGTGCCAACCAGCCTTCACTTGCGCATGAAGAGCAAAATCCAGGAGTTGTGGAAAACAGGCAGCGGGGTGTTTTTGCTACTCCAGATTTGGCCAACAGGCAAAGACCAGAGCAAGCTGGCCCCCTTCCTCTCTGGATGTCACCAATAACGGCTACTTCGCTCTTGCATCAAGCAATTTCGGATGGCGCTAACAATTCAGGTCATGGTGGTGGTAGTTAACTGCAGACTTCCAGCTTCTGACCAGCTAATCTCGTCTAATCGTAGTCTAGTTTGGTGATCAACTGACTTCACTGACTGACCGACTGACCACCTGATTGACTGATCTGCATTGCCTTGTTTCTGAATGGTCTTTTGGTACTTTCCAGTCAGCATGAGCCAGCTGATTGGGTTTCTTGTTTTATGGGGTGATTCTGTTGTTTGTTAATTTTGTTAAGGCTGCCTGGATTGCAGCTGCTTATGTGTTGTTGGGAGATTTCCTGCTTTGCATGGATTTGCATATTCTGTTGATTTCAATTCTGTAAACACAATCTTGCAGATGTATCCATGCACTTTTACAGACGAGAGGGCCTGTTATAGGGTCCAACCACAACGGTACTGTATCAAATGGCTCATCGAAAATCGTGAATGTCTGTAGTGCTGGTGCGATGCATGTCGTCCACACAAGTTTGACAGGAAAGGCTGCGCCAGCGCAACCTTCACCACAAAACTGCGATCGCGAAACCCCCTTAGGTTTCACCACAGGTTTCTGGACTTGCCGAACCTCTCATTCAGAAGCGGCGTGTAGCTCTTAGCTGACGAGTTTCGTCCCGAACCAATATGGCGAAAGGTATCACCGCTGGTTACAGCTCCTCGCAAACGGAGAAACGGCATCTTCAACTGTTCCGTTGGTGGAAACCCCTCATTTTCAGCGTCGCCTATTTCCTTCGCTTCACTGCTCCAGCCCGTTTCTGTCTCACGTTTTCCGCTTTCCCGTCTCTTCCCGTTCTTTCCACATCCATGCTTTCCATTCATCATCATCCATTCCATCATCATTTTCATCCATTAGGGTTTCGTCAAGCAGCACAGCAGCAACATCTGTTCCGTTCTGTGGGCCATCCATCATCTGAACTGAAGCACCATCCCTCACTCCCCTCCCCCATCCTCCCTCATGGCTTCCGCCATCCCTTCAATCCCTGAGCAACATCCCCCAACCTCCTCCGCAGTCCATGATCATCCTCATGCCATATTACCACCTCCAGCAAAGCAAATGGTGATAAAGGAATGCCAGCCCAAGAGTGCAAGGAAGCGTAGCTCTCACGGCCGGAATTCGCAAGTTAGAGCTCAGGCTAATGCTGTAGAACCACCGGCAGGTGAAGCAGTTCAGATCGCCGCATTCGCGACGCCGCGTGCCGTTCCGAGGATATCCGTAGACGATCTTTTATTAGAAGACGGTCCGCCGTCGTCGTCGTTTACCCGCGCTGCCGAGACATTGTATCTTTCGCTCGCACAGAACGGAGCAGTGATTCTGGAACCCGCGCGACACGATGCCGCGTCCTTGTGTAGAACGTTGGAATCCGCGCGGCTTTACTTTCGCCGACGAGCAGATCCGTCGTCGTCGTCGTCGCCGTCATTCCCGGAACAGCCTGCGTGGAATGACGGCGGAGGTTACTTCCAGGCACCTTCCAAGGACTTGTACTTTTACAAAGCCGGCAGGTCGTTGAACGAAGCAATCAGCGACTCCTGCCCACCGGGGTTTGCGGAAGCGTTCAAGTACTTGGGGAAGGTCTCGCGGTCCGCCATGTCAGCTCTCGCTCGCCATCTGAAAGTCCGCTGCGAGTACGTCCTCCTATTCCTGCATTGAGACGTTTCTTGAGACGTTCAGCTAGTTGTCGCTGATGCGTCTCAGCAGTCGTCGTGTGGAGGTTCGTTCCGAAAATGTCGTCTCGTCTTCTCACCGTCGAGTGTGTATCTCGTGTTTTCGCCCGACCCGGTTCACCAGTTTTCAGCAGAATAATTTTGTTGTTGCCCGTGTTCAACGTCGGATTTTTTTTGTTAATTGCCATTATCCTCCTCGCAACTTCCCTGCAGTTTCTTCTCGAGTCTGCTCGACGACCTTCCGTTGCCGATCGGCGAGGTGTCCTCCTCCGTGCTCGCCGCATCATGCCAGCGCATCCAATCTCCTCGAGACGATTCCGCCAGAGTGACACCGGATGCCACTGAAATTGAAAAGGGGCTTCTCATGCTTGTCACAGCCGATTTTCCAGGCCTCCAGGTACCGTATACACCATTAGTCCTGCAGGGTTAGCCAATGTGCCAGCCTGTTAGAGGTCAGATTTTCAACTTTTGCCGCTGTGGTTTAAGGGTGCATTGCTGCGGGCGCTGCTGGTGGCAGGCGTGCGGAATTCGAGGATATGTGGTAGCAAACAATTTGCCATTTTTTTGGCGCAGGTGTGCAATTCCGAGGGCGTCTGGTCGCCGGCGGACCAGGGCGTGCCGCCGGGAAGCTTGCTGCTGCTTGCCGGCCGTTGCCTCCATCGCGCCACGGCCGGCCTCTGCCCCGCCTCCACCTACCGCGTGCTGCCGCCCGTCTCCTCGGGAACCACCAGGTATCTTATGTTGAAAATAAGAATTACAAAGGGGTTTTTCGTTCTGTTTTTCCTATCCAACTGTGCTCCCGCCCGCGTCGTCGGAAGCAACGTCGTGAGAGGTCCCTTGATGGTTTAGTTGAATGTCATTTCTTCGGATTGACGCCCGTTCGAGTCTGTTCCCAACCCTTGTGCTATGGTGCCTTGGCCTGCTGTACCTCGGGCCGCTGCAGGTGCGCCCTCTCGTTCCGCCTTATGCCGCGGACGGTCGCCGTGATTGCCTGCGCCGTCCTTTCCCCCTCACCCCCTTCCACACACTCTCCTGATTTCATTCCCGCCTTTCTAACCCTGTCTGCTGTGCCGTCGCCTGCTGCAGGTGCGCGCTCTCGTTCCGCCTCATGCCGCGCCCATCCGCGGTGATCGACTGCGCCGTGCTGGCGCACGCGGGCCACGCCGTGCCCGCCGCTATGCGCGAGAGTGTGTGCGCGGGGGCCTTCATGGACGCGCTGGGCCCGTCCGCCTCCGCCGCCGACCTGGGAAGCAGCGACAGAGAATCCAGCCTGGTGAGTCCTTGCGGAGTTAGACTGCTGCGCCCTGCTCGCGCGATCATGGGCGAGCGTGGGCGATCATGGGCGAGCGTGGGCGATCATGGGCGAGCGTGGGGGATCATGGGCGAGTGTGGGCGATCATGGGCGAGCGTGGGCGATCATGGGCGAGCGTGGGCGAGCGTGGGCGAGCGTGGGGGATCATGGGCGAGCGTGGGGGAATCATGGGCGAGTGTGGGCGATCATGGGCGAGCGTGGGCGATCATGGGCGAGCGTGGGTGATCATGGGCGAGTGTGGGCGAGCATTGCTGGGCACCCACTTGAGTTGCCAAATGTTGCTCTTTGCCCGAACAGTCGTGTACATGCTGAGTATAATCAATCAAATCCGTAATTAGTACCACGCATCAAATCGGAGCCCTCCTTTTTTTTTTCCCCTCGTTTCTCAACATTGCTCGTCCGTGTGTCACCAGGCTGTGTCATGCAAGCTGGAGAAGTCGTCTCTTGCCTCCATGGTCTCGGACCCTGTCTCGTACGTTGGGGGGGGGGGTAGAGAGGGAGGTAGGGAAGTAGGGAGTTTTCCCTCGCATGCCTGTCACCAGGCCTTATCTCGCAAGCTGGGAAAGTCGTCTCTTGCCTCCATGGTCTCGGACACTGTCTCGTACGTTGGGGGGAGAGACGCGAGCGAGGGAAGCAGCAGGAGAGAATATGAAAGAGGGAGGGATGAAGCAAGAGAGACCAGGGGCTCAATGGGTTAAAGACGGGGGTGCGCGGGGGAGGAAGAGTGAAATGAGTTCGGGAAGTTGGAGGCGGAGGTGGTGAGGGAGATAGGGAGGTGGAGAGGTAGGGAAGTTGAGGTAGACGTAGTCACGTAGGGAGGAAGGGAGGTAGATGTAAGGAGATGGTTGCAGGGAGAGGGGTGTATGGAGGTAGAGAGGGTTGGAGTGATGCAGATAGGGAGGGAATGAAGCACTGAACTGCATGCTGCTCTGCTCGTGTTTGCTGCAAGGGGTCGTTGCTGGAGGGAGGATGTGATGGGATGGTGGCCCAGTGTGGGCACGCCTTTGACGGAGAGTGTTGGAATGAAGTGCTGACTTGTGTGCTGCTGTCATGTCATGTACCTTTGTTGTGTGCTGCTACTGTGTGTGTGCTGTTGTGTTGTGTGTGCTGCAGGGGCTCGCTGCTGGAGGATGCCATGGTGGCTCAGTGTGGGCATTCCTTCGGCGGAGCAACACTCGCAAGAGTCATGGACTCGGTAAGCACCTCCTGCCTTCCCTCGTTCCTGTTTGTGCGTCTCAATATTGAGTTCTGAGAAGGCTTTAAATTTGAGTTCTGAGAAGGCTTTAAGTTTTGAGTTCTGAGAAGGCTTCAAGTTTGAGTTCTGAGAAGGCTTTAAATTTGAGTTCTGAGAAGGCTTTAAATTTGAGTCTGAGAAGGCTTTAAATTTGAGTCTGAGAAGGCTTTAAATTTGAGTTCTGAGAAGGCTTTAAATTTGAGTCTGAGAAGGCTTAAATTTGAGTTCTGAGACGTTCCAAGCTGGACTCGGTAAGGAATTCCTTCCGTCATGTCTGTTTATGGCTTGCTATTCAGTCCCGTGCTGCAGCCACCTTGCATAGTTTTCGTGCTCTACCTGCCACTTTTCCACATGTCTTGCCTCATCACGTGCTCTGCCTCACATGCCCTGCCTCACATGCCCTGCCTCACATGCCCTGCCTCACATGCCCTGCCTCACAATGCTCCATGGCTCCTGCCTGCCTCTCTTGTGCTCTGCAGATGGTGTGTCCATACTGCATGGCGCCTGTTGACGTCATGGCGCTCATTCCCAACCTCGGTAAGCGGTCTACCTGGGCTCATTCCCATTCTCTCACATTCCCTCACATTCCCTCACATTCCCTCGCATTCTCCCATTCTCCCACCTCACCTCCGTGTGCCATGGCGCCTGCTTGCGTGCAGCTGTGAGGTCCGTGGCATCATGTTTCGGCAAGGGTGTGCTGCACTGCACCACACAGGGGCTAGGAGGGGTGGGCCATGTCACCACTCACATTGTCCCATTCTCCCTCCTCACCTCCATGTCACCTGCTTGCGTGCAGCTGTGAGGTCCGTGGCATCATGTTTCGGCAAGGGCGTGCTGCACCACACAGGGGCTAGGAGGGGTGGGCCATGTCACCACTCACATTGTCCCATTCTCCCTCCTCACCTCCGTGTCACCTGCTTGCGTGCAGCTGTGAGGTCCGTGGCATCATGTTTTGGAAAGGGCCTGCCGCACCACACAGGGGTCGGGGCTGGGCCGGGCGCAAAGGCGCACAAGAGGAAGCGAGACAAGGAGCACACAGGGGAGGGCAAGCTGTTGCCAGACGGCTCCCTGCCTCAACCAGTCAAGCGCCGCCCCAAGGTGTTGTGCCTGCCCTCCTCTCCTCTCCTTTCCTCTCCTCTCCTCTCCTCTCCTCTCCTTTCCTCTCCTCTCCTCTCCTCTCCCTCTCCTTTCCTCTCATCTCCTCTCCTCTCCCTCTCCTTTCCTCTCCTCTCCTCTCCTCTCCCTCTCCTCTCCTCTCCTCTCCTCTCTCTCAACCTTCCTCTCTTCTCTCCTCTCCCCTCTTATCTTCTTCCTTTCAACAAAACAGTATCATTCTCTCCCTGCGCTTTGTTCTCATGCTTGAAGCGATGCTTTTCTGTAGCAATGATAAGCCTTTTTTGGGACTGGAGCGTCATTGATATGGTGCTGTCCCTTGTTGTGTTGTGCTGTGTGTGTTTGAGCAGCCTGAGGACTCGGGGCTTCTCGGGTCTCCTGATGCTGAAGGTGGTGGCCGCCTGAAAGGCGTGCAGTTTCCATTCTCCGTCAACGAAAAGGTTCTGATAAAGGTAAGAGCTCCTTCACGTCCTTCACGTTTCTCGATTGTTTGTTTTTTTTTAATCATTTTCACTGTAGTGGGCTGCGAACGCGTTGCTGATGACTCTCCATGGTTTGACGTGCAGGGGAATAAGCGAACGCCTGAGAAGTTCTTTGGCAAAGAGGCAGTGATCACTTCTCAGTGCCTCAACGGCTGGTGGGTTCTTCTCTCTCTGTGTGTGTCTGTCTGTCTGTCTGTCTGTCTGTCTGTCTGTCTGTCTGTCTGTCTGTCTGTCTGTCTGTCTGTCTGTCTGTCTGTCTGTCTGTCTGTCTGTCTGCCTCTGTCTTTCGTTCTTTTTGGATGCCTAAAAGTATGTGCGTGCTCCCATCCCATGTTTGTTCTACCTGTACAATCTGTCAGTTGATTGACAGACAGCGTGTCTCTCTGTCTGTGTGCCTCTGCCGCAGGTATCTCGTGCGAGTGCAGGACTCGGGGGAAAGCGTCCGTCTGCAGTACCGTTCTCTTCAGAAGTGTGGTCAGTGCACCGCTGCACTGCACCTCCTCCCATCCCATCCCACTGCTCATTTTTGCATGTCTAGAAAGTTGCCTCCTTTTGTTTTGTAAACGCCTTGTTTTCTTTCTCTGTCTTGCGAGAACCCACTTATCGCTTGCTTTGTCAAGCGTGTTTTTTGTATGTAATTCTGACGCGCCTAAAAACCATCCTCTGCATAATTTGTTCAGATTGACAACCACCCAACCTAACATCCTTGCTATATATATGTATATATGTAATATGTATATATGTATTTTTGTATACATGTATATATGTATATATACATACATATGTACACACACATCCCCTCCCCCCCCCCCCCCCCCCCCCCTCCTCTCCCCCCTCCTCTCCCCCCACGTCTCCAGATGGAACGCCAGTGGAAGCCAAGTATGAGGCGCACCATGCGAGCACAGCAGAGGCACAGGCAGAGGAAGCAGGGGCGGGCGGAGATGGCAAGAGCTGGTGGGGCGACGAGGGGGAGAAACGCCTGATGGGTGAACAGCCAATGATGGGCGACATGTCAGTCTCTCAGCCAATCATAGGCGAGATGTCAGCCTCTCAACCAATGATGGGCGAGATGTCAGCGCTGCTCCAAGCAGACGACGACTCAGACCACCCACCGGCCTTTTCAGACGACACTCTCCTCCCTCACAACCCATCCAACAGCATGTCTGTATCCCCATCTCTGCTCGGACAGTCATTTGACCACTCGCAGAAACCTTCCAGCAGCAGCACTCCTCTATCCCCATCTCTGTTGGGACAGTCCCTCATGCTGTCTCCCCCATCCAGCAGCCATCTGGCAATGCTGAGCTCACCGCCTATGGAAGGTCGTGCAGCCATGCTGACCTCACCACCGCCGCCCAACAGCCATGCAGCAATGATGAGCCCGCCGCCGCCCATGGGCGGGCGGCTGTCCAGTGTGGCGGAGTCGAGCTGTTTTGGGGCGGCTCAGAAGCAGCAGCAGGCTGGTCAACTGGCAATGCCAGTGCAGGGCTTGCAAGGAGGAGGGGGGGCTTCTGGGGGTGCAGAGGCAGGGGGGTGTGGGAGTGAAGTGCCAGGGTTGGGGCTGTCACCTGGGCAGCAGCAGCAGCAGCAGCAGCAGCAGGGGGGGTCTCTGCTGGCCCAAGGGACGCATGCACTGATTGCAGCAGCCGCAGCTGTGGAAGCCGAGTGCAGGGGGGAAGCGGCTGGTGGGGATGTTGATGGTGGTGCTGGTGGTAATGGTGCTGGTGGTGATGGTGCTGGTTCTGGTGGCGGTAGGGCTCCCCTTGCTACCAGTGGAAGGCAATACAGGGGTGCACAGGGCAGCAAACATGGGGCCGGGGCGGGTCGGTCGGGCAGTGTGGCTGATAGACGGCCATCGGAGCAGCAAGGGCCGCTGCCCCTGTGGATGTCACCCGACACGGCAACCACGATTCTGCACCAGGCGATTTCAGATGCTGGTGGTGCTGGCAATGTGGAGCGTGGTGATGGGGAGTTGGGAGCGGTGAACAATCAGGCTGGTTAGTGTACATCTTGGTGTGCATTTCTTTTGAGTTCGGATGCCAGTGGGTGGTGTACAGGTTTCATTTTATTCATGAGTACTAATGGCAGGCATGAGATGCAGCCACTAGGGCTGCAATTGTGTCTGGTATAGGCTGTGCCCTGGATGGGTGGGTGGGAGTCCCCTGTTTCTGTATGAATGCCAAATCCCTTTCAGTTGTGTAACAATTGTTCTGCATACACCTGCTTGCAATGGGGTATGCAGCTCAAGCAGTTGAATCGACGTGATGTAAATAAAACATGGAGTTTATGTAAAGTGTACCGAGTCACGCCATGCGTCCTAGATTCTGCCTTGAAAAGTCAAGAGATGCCGGGCAGCAACTCACGGATTTCAGGGGCGCCGGCCAATGCCGCTGCGTCTCACGCGCTGTTGTCGCTGCGCTTGTGTCTCTCTACCCATCTGATTGGTCTTCGGAGGTCTTCGGTCCGAGGTGAAGATTTTCGTGTGTCCAAGGTCCAAGGTCATTGGACATGGATCATTGTTCATGGATCACATGCATCCATGTTGTACCTTTTCGTCAAACAGTACATGTTCTGTAAGTTATGTCATGTCATGTCACCATCCCCTCCCCTGGTTTGTGGGTGGGTTGCACCATGCGTACCAAACCTCATGAGGGATTGAACTTCCATCGCCATCGCCGTCGCCATTCCATAGCCATCGCCTCCCCATCCCCATCCCCATCCCCATCCCCATCCCCATCCCCATCCCCACCCCATTCTCCCGATGACCTCGGTTTTGCCGATGACCACAGGTTTCTCCCAGCAGCCCCCCCGTTTCGACCGTATGTGGTTGGTGTTCATCTCGATGTTGCCAAATAATGCTGGGGATGACCCAGCCAGCAGCACCATTTTGGTGCCAAATGTGTGGAATCAATGCTGAGGAGGGAGTTTCAGCCATGGCTCCATAGCGTACCTCCCGCCACAGCAGATTGCCGCAGGAACAGACGTTTTTAAAGAGATTAGCCTGATCCGCACCTACATAAATTCTCGTTTCCCTTGTCTCCCCGTCTCTTATCTCGCGTGTAATCCCGCCAAAAGCCGAGCAATTTTCTAGATTCAGATTCCAGAAGGAAACCACCAACCCACGACAGCGAGTCCTCCGTTCCCCAATGCCTATGTGCCACGTAGCTCGTGTCCGTCAGCCATTGGGTGAGAAATACCGGCTTCTGGTCAAGCGCCTTGGTCGCCGTCGATCCAGGGCAGCGAACATGTCGTTGACGGTCAAGATGCCAGGTTAACCGCCGTCGATATTTCATGAATAGAAGGTGCACCCGCCGGGCATCCCAGCTTTCATCGGCATTGCCCGATCTTTCTCGCTTCGCCTTTCTTTCTCGCTCTTCTCTTGCGCTTCTCCCATTTTTCCCTCGCTTATAACTTCCCGCCATCGTTCGCCAGAGTGTTGTCTTCAGATCGTCTCCCCCAGTGCCCCATCGCCTCATTCCTCTCGTCACTCGCTCCTCTACTAATTCCTCCCCTCACTTACCTCTTCTCGCCATCGTTCGCCACGGTGTTGTCGTCAGACATCTCCCCCATGGCCCCATCCTCTCCCTTCCTCTCGTCACTCCGGGGTTGTTTGTGTCGACTCAAAACACACCTTTTGAGTCGACTCGAGACACATCATTCGCCACGGTTCTCATCATCTCCCCCATTGCCCCATCAGCTAATTTCTCTCGTCACTCCGTCCTCTTCTCTCCCCTCCTCTCGCCGCCGCTATCTCGCTCTTATTATCCCGCCGCTATTGTTCATGGGTGAAAGAATAGACACGGCAGTTGACTTTACGTTCAACGTAATTTTAAGGAATAAGTTATTCCTTCCTGTCTCTCCCCTTGTTCCCCCTCTACCAGGTAGGGGTGGCGGAACGGGCGGAGCTTGAGGCGGAAACTCCTCACTGGGATAGCCGTGGGTTTCAAGATCCTCCTTTTCTGTGTTTCCCCCGTTTCCCCCTCTACCAGGCAGCGGTGGCGGAGCAGGCGGAGCTTGAGCGCGGAAACGCGGCCATTGCCGCCGCTGCCCCACTGCAGCCGCCGTCATTGACGATTGAGTCGACTCAGAAGTCATCTAGAAGCGCCAATCCTGCCGACGCCTTCTCTCCACAACCGCCCCGCTTTCGTGCACTGAATCCTGGGACAAATCCCTCAATAGCTGTCGTCCGAAGCCTGTCCAAACCATTGTCAATCCCGTCTAAGTTATACATAAAGAAAGGCCTGTCCTCGTTCGCGTAAGCGAATCACGGCTTCTATTTCTCGCTCGCCCAAGCGAGCGAATCAGGGCTCATTACCGGCCCTTAGCCGCAGTTCGCCGGCAGCTGGCTCCGCCCTGACGATTTTCTTCGAGGCGTTTGAAGCAACGCTCGCGCCGAAGCCCATCAGGACTTATTTACTGCTAGCCCCCCCGCTTGCACTGTGCTAGCCCCCCCCGCTTGCACTGTGCTAGCCCCCCCGCTTGCACTGTGCTAGCCCCCCCCGCTTGCACTGTGCTAGCCCCCCCCGCTTGCACTGTGCTAGCCCCCCCCGCTTGCACTGTGCTAGCCCCCCCCGCTTGCACTGTGCTAGCCCCCCCCGCTTGCACTGTGCTAGCCCCCCCCGCTTGCACTGTGCTAGCCCCCCCCGCTTGCACTGTGCTAGCCCCCCCGCTTGCACTGTGCTAGCCCCCCCCGCTTGCACTGTGCTAGCCCCCCCGCTTGCACTGTGCTAGCCCCCCCCGCTTGCACTGTGCTAGCCCCCCCGCTTGCACTGTGCTAGCCCCCCCGCTTGCACTGTGCTAGCCCCCCCCGCTTGCACTGTGCTAGCCCCCCCCGCTTGCACTGTGCTAGCCCCCCCCGCTTGCACTGTGCTAGCCCCCCCCGCTTGCACTGTGCTAGCCCCCCCCGCTTGCACTGTGCTAGCCCCCCCGCTTGCACTGTGCTAGCAGCTGGCTTAGACTTAATCATCTTCTCTTGAGGCGCTTCAGAAACCGTGGAGGCGAATCAGAGCCTACGAGCCCTCCTAGTGTGCTGGATAGCCCAGCCTATCCTTGAGGAGCCTCAGAAATAAGTTACAGACCGTCCGCCTAAGTTACAGACCGTCCGCCTAAGCTACAGACCGTCCGCCTAAGTTGCAAGCCGTCCGCTTAAGTTCGACCTCCCACTAAGTCACAAACGACAGACCAAGGCCGGGCGAATCAGGGCCTACAAGCGACTCTCCACCGGGTTTCCATTCCGTGTCGCCACTCCCGCGTCCTGCCACCGCTGCAGTCTGCCCGCCCTTCGGGTCTTCCCTCACCTCTCCTCGTGGCGCCGACTCTTTATCGGGAGTCCATTCACTCGTGCTATATCCCGTCTCGCTGCTCCTGAGGCCTCCTGTGGGGTGAAACGGGCGGAGTGACAGACAGCCAGTATTTGGGCTGTCTAGGGTTGCCTACTTGTTAACCCGAACCGTCCGATGGACTCCCCTTGTGAGGATCGCTCGGTTGTAGCAGCACCAAAGGAGCCCTCGGTTGTAGCTGCACCTGCAGAGTCTCCAGTTGTTGCAGCACTTGAGAAACCGTCGGCTGTAGCAGCAGCGTCTGCGAGTGTGTCTGAGACGGTATCAGAGGCCTGCCATGTCGTCGTGAACATGGACTTGCTCACACCCCTGGTTGCAGCCTCTCCTGGTGAGGGCTCGGCTGTAGCAACGGCCGAAAAGTGCAGCGCGGAGTGCGAGGAGGAAAACGAGGATGGCAAGAATAGGGGGCATGGCATGGGAGAGGGAACCCATGGCAGTCCGACAGTAGCTAAGCAAAGGGTTGCTGCAAGCGAAGGAGAGCTCGTGAGGGCGAGAGGCGAAGAAAGGAAGGCTTTTGAGACGCGTATCTTGGAGTTAGAGGGGGAGAGGAGGCGGCTGGAAGGAGAGGAGGAGGAGATGGAGAGGAGTGTGGGGGAGGAGGTGCGGCGGAGGAGGGAGGTGGAGGATGAGGTGGAGGACCTTAGGTCCGGCATGCGCCTTGCCGAGGCTAAGCTCTGGCAATGGATGGAGGCTCGGAAGGGGGAGAGCGTGGGAGGAAGAGGAGGAGGAAGCGGCGGTGTGGAATGTGGAGGATTGGAAGGGGAGGCAAGGGCTGCGAGTGCTGCTGCTGGTGATGCAGGCTCTGCTGCGGCTACTGCTGCTTCTCATGCCGCTGCTGACGTGGCCGCGTCTGAAGTGGCGACTGCTGACGTGGTAGGCTACATGGAGGATCTCCTCCTCCACCAGTCCTGCATGCTGGCACGTGAGCGAGCGCGACGAGCGGAAGCTTCCAGGAAACGAGAGGAAGCAGAGGGGCGGCGGGAAAAGGCGGAGCGCGCCCTGAGGGAGTTTCAACGGCAGGTGGGAGTTTCGGAGCTGGCTTTAAAGGTTAAGGCGGAAAACCAGTGGGAGGATCAGCTTTTGAGGGAGATTTGCTCGGTGGAGAGAGATGTGGAGGAGTTGAGGGGAGTGGTGAAGGAGAAAGACGGGGAACTGGAGAGGCTGAGGGTGGAAGTTTCGAGGAAAGTAGAGCTTCTGAGGCGCGTGCATGGGCGAGCGATGAAGATGAGGGCGGACGCGAAGGGGACGATCCGACGGCTGAGATTGGAGCTGCAGACGGCGCGGGGGTTGCTGGAGAGGAGGGAGGAGAGGGTGAGGGAGAAGGGGAGGGCGTTGAGGGGAGAGATTAGTGTGTTGGTGCAGGAACTTGAGGAGATTAGGGGTGGGAATGAGGCGGTGGTGTGTGTGTTAGAGGAGGCGAGGAAAGAGGTGGTGGAGGAGAGAAAGGAGATTGAGAAGGGGAGGAGGGAGGTGGAGGAGGCTGTGAGGGAGGTGCGGAAGCTGCAGAATGGGAAGGATGAGGAGGGGGAGAAGGAGAAGGAGAAAAAGAAGGAGAAGGAGGGTGAGAGGAGAGAGGAGGGAGAGGAGGGATCCGCTAATAGGGAAGGAGAGGAAGCTAGGGAGGGAGAGGGGAGTGGGGGGAATGACACTAGTGGTATGAACA